AGAGGCATCTTGAGACCATACTCATAAGTGAAATAAATCAAACTCCCTTTGTAAATATCATATTGTCTCCTTAGTGTAAAAAAAAACCTGGAAGAGTAATAAGATCCAAAATGTACAGTAGATATTGTAATAATGAAAGAGAAGGAAAGTGCTCAAAAGGAAAGAACAACTGAGGAGAAAGAAGAAAATAAAAAGGGAAAAGATTATATAGGTTTACACACATATATATGCGTGTGTGTATATATATATATAGACAAGATAGATAATTGTACTAGTAATCTATTAGTTCATCAGAAAAAACAATTTGTACTTCCATTGTTTGATTGTTTGATCACTTTTTCATGCCTAAATCTTGTAACCTGAGCAACTACTTCTAAGATAGCACGTGCAATATATATATTAACTAGTGTTAATTTCCTGCTATTCCTTTTTTGAAATTCTGTATTGTTTATATCTTTTTTCTGTTGTGCTTTTTAAAATAAAAAATAAGTTGTGCTGATATAAACATGCATATGCACATATCCCTACAATTTAATTTTCAGTCTTATAATGGGAAATTTAAAAGGAAAGAAGAAAACGATAGTTTTAAGTATTTATGTAGCATGTATATTTTTATGCAATCTTAAAAGGGACTGTTATCCCTGTTTTATGAATGAGGCATTTGATATTGAAAAACATTAAATTGGTGTAGTCAATACGCAATAAACAGAGCGAAAGGACTCAATCCCAAGGTTTGGGGCTTCAGATGAAATGCTGTAGTGGCTAGGGACCATTATTTTCTCCTGGTTCTGTCTCGTTCTCTCTGCACATTTCATTTGTTATAATCAACTGGCCCCATTTCCTAGGGCAGGTTTCCATTCCCAAGTGTGGTTTCTGGACCTAAAAGAATGGACCACACCACACAGCCTTACTCAACAGCCAATCATGGTGGCCTTGTCTGTTCTCTTGCTGTCTGACATGGTCTCAGTGCCCAGAGGTCTGGTTATAGAGAGTACCAGGGAGGAAGCTGGGAGTAGGAGGAAGAGTGATGGAGACGAAACTCTGTCTTATGCTTGAGCCTTGCTGTTTTTTTATGTGGTTTCGAGGGTTGAGGAACCCCAAAGCCAGGTAAGTTGTTAGGTTCATCGCTATGTGCTATGAGGGAGCTAGTTATAGGGTGTGGGAATTGGAGTGATCCAGGAGGGGCATTTGACTTGGAACTTACCTCCCGCTGAGCACCTTTTTTCTGGAAAGACCTCTGTCCATCAACTCACTTCTCGAGGCCTCCATAGAGTTGTCAGATGTTTTGTGGCTCCTGACCTTGTGTGTTCATCTTTCTATAATAAAGGGTTTATTGTTGACCTTTCATCCTTTTTGAAGGAACAGGACCCCAAATGCTTGTTTTTCTTGGTTTTTTGACAGTAGGCATTTGGGTAAGGAGTTCGAGTTTTAGTCTCCTTTTTCTGACTTTTCCTGTGTGTGTGTATATGAATGTTTGTACATTTATTGTCCTTAGTATCTTGATGGAATGTGTCCTTCTCCAGAACCTACTAGAGGGGGATCCTGGAAGTCACTGGCCTAGGCCTTTGCTGGCAGGAAGTTGTTCACTTTTGTATAGTGTAATATTTCATTAGATAGAAATGCTTTGCTGTCCAGAGGAAAAAGTTGACATGACTGGTTTATACCACTGAGAAAGGACCTATGTCCTCTTCTGGAAGAATTCTGGGATTCAAAATCTGTGCCATTCTGCCTGCTTTCCTAGATAGTTGGGGTGCTGATAATGTGGTGTAAAGGCAGGTCTAAGTGACAATAATGACACTGGGAGTAGGATTTATGTCTGTGAAACTCAACAAGTATTCCTAAGCACCCAAGCTGCCAAGGCTGCTGTTGAACTCCATGGTACACTGTCTGGGGTGTGTAGTGGGGCAGTGCTATGGCTTCATGGGATCCTCTTCATAACACTAATCGAAGAGCATAAGGATGCAGTGCAGGGGGTGAGACAGAGCAAGTAGACCCAACTCAGCGTGGATTATGGTCTATTTAAGGAAACATACTGCAGTTGTTAAGATGTTGGGGGGGCAGTATTATACCACTTTCCTTCTCTGTCTATGATCAGAACAAATTGAGATATAGGAGTTGGGCCAAAAGAGTTAAAATAACAATTTTATGGCTAATAAAACTGATCTTGACAATGTAATTTGTAGCTGTGGGCAAGTTTCTAAAATTGAACCCTACAGTCAGACAGACTCACCCGCCTGTCACAGATAGCACTAGAGAATTGCAGTCTTTTATTCCTACCAGCCATCACCCCTGCCCTTTGCGGTCCTTCCTGCCACTTGTAGAATGAGGGAGCCGAGCAGAAAACAGACTGAGCTATCTATGTCCAGTACTTGTGTCCTAAATTACCAAGCCAGGGAGAAGTCATGAATGTTACATGAAAGATGTCTCTCCACAAGGAAACATTCAAGCAGGGAAAACAAGGTTCTTGCTCCCAACAAGCCCCCAGAATCAGCTCGGGAGGAACTTTAAGGCAGTACCTGTCAACTCAATGTATTTTGGGTACAAGGTATTTAGATGTGGAAAGGAAAGGATGCTGTATGTTTAGTCAGGAACATTAGTCTGGCAACAAATGCACAGTTTTAACAGATTAATCTGTTGAAATGGGGTCATTTGTGTTGAGCCTGAGCTGGGGAACACTGAGAAAAACCTCCCAATTTATTGACTACTACAGTTGTTTTGAAGATCTCAGGGAGGTGGGTTGGCATCACCAATCCAGAGCTGGAATATGCAGGTTTGATGGTACAGGCCCAGCTGAACAAGTTCCCAGGCACTGGCCCAGCTGGGTGCAGTGCAGTGATGGCCCATGTACTGTAGAGATGCAGGGAGTGGTGCTGGGCTTCAGCAAGCTGAGATTCCCAGGATCAGGCATCATAAGGGAGCCGCCTCTCCTCTGATTGACGACTAACTTGATAAATTAGGAGTTTTGTCTAGCTTCCCTCTGAGGAAGAACTGCTTAAACATTTTTTTTTTGAGCAAAAAGAAAACACCTTTTCTGATTTTCTTGCTTTTGTCTTACCAGGTAAGATATGCTGTAATGCTTTCTTTTGAGTTTTCTGCTGCTTAATTGAAAATGTTTTAAAATCCCAGATTCTGAGGAGGGAACTAGGAGAAAGAGTAACACAGACTTTCCAAAAACAGTGGATATTTCAAAGGTCTTATTTTTCTTGATTTTGAAACGCTATATATGATTTTTTTTGTGGTGAAATTTTCTTGCAAAACATGTTTTTCTTAGGGAGACATTATAATCTGTCAGTTGTTTGCAATGTCTGTAACTGGGCAGCTGAAAATTATGCAAAAAGAAATGGAAAGAAGATTAAATTAACTATGGATGAATATACAGATAATTAAGATTTAAAAAGAATATGTTTCCATTTGACTTATTTGCTGGCTGTTTGTACACTTTATGGCTATTCATATTTAAATATGAATAAATAGATCCAGATCGGTAAATTAGTTATGTCAAGGCACACTGGCTAATTGTGACTTGATTTTAAGTTGTGTCTAACCATGTTGTATAATAATACAGAGTTTGATGTGACTACATGGAGAGAGACCCGGGGACCCTGTATTTTCATCTCTGAGACTCAGTGATTTGTCTGCTCTGAATCTCATAATATAAAATGATCTATGCTAAATTTTTTCTATATATAGAAAGCTCTCTAATACTTAACAACTTGGGGAAATAGTTACTGATTTTTATTATGAAAGTGGTTATAAAATAGTTTGTAATATATTAGCTATGGAAAATTAGTTACTGAGGTCTTCTTATATGCCAGGTGCTGTTTTAGGAACTGGAATACAAGAAGTAGGTAGAGAAGAATGTATCATGGTTTTATGTCTCATTTAATTTGTGTCACAGAAAAGATTGGCACTTCGTACTGTGGTATATTCTATGGATAGAAAAATGTTAGGGGGCAGCTATTTAATCACAGATATCTGAGTCACGACTCTTTCAGAACTCAAATAAGCTCTGACACTTCCTCCTGCAGCTGAGGACAGTGCTTAGGCAGAGCTTGTGCATCCCTGTTTTAGCTCAGGAACAAGGACTGAAGTTGGAATGTTTACTGTGCTTCCTAAGCCAATAAAGTGGGCAAATCTGACTAGGGGACCCTCCCTTTCTGCAGAGCTTTTGCTGGGGAAATCATTGTGGCAGTGCTTTAATTTTTCAGTGTTTTGCCATTTTCTGTTGTATTGAACATTTCGCATGTTTATTTTGGGGAGAAGGACTTAGAAATACAGTTTCTACCTCACACTTGGTTGAGTATGTGAGCAAGTAGATGGATCCACCTACCGCGCTTTGACACAGGGGCCCTTTGACATAGACAGCACTTGAAATTTGAGTTTATGTGGTCTGTTGGCCATGGTTGGCAGTGAGGCTTTTGGCCCACATTTTTTTGCCACCTCCAAAATATTTTTTTATTATCTAAAAATAGACATTTATTTACTTTAAGAAAATTATACAACTTTGTAGGAGATCTCATCAAAATTTCCTTCATTTTCTGATTAAGTAGTGATCCTTGTCTCAAATTTTAATCAACGCATTAGTTACAAATTAAAATCCTGAATAATAATAACTGTTGGCCTATATTTATTCCTGTCTACCATGTGATCTAAGGTAAGCCTTTGGTCCTGATACCTGAATTTCTTTCATAAGATCAGATACAATTAGAAAGAAAAGATCAGATACAATTTTTGCCTATTTCCTAACTGTTTTACAAGGGCTGAGAGATCTTCATTTACAAAATTTCTACAGTAAAAGAAAATCCTCATAAGTAGTTACTGTAAAAGTTTTCATTCCAGCAAGAACAAAATTAATGGTGTAATATGTTGGCACTTAAGCAAGTGAGACCACTTAAAGAATGAATTAATATTTTAACCTATTCATTCCCAAGCTTTTGCTTCTATCATAGATCCTCAAATGAGAATGAAATAACCAACCAACCTGTTAATATTTTTTGCAGGGACACCTGTGTGGTTTTTTGTGAAAATTGCTCCAATTCGAAATGAACAGGATAAAGTGGTTTTATTTCTCTGCACTTTCAGTGACATAACTGCTTTCAAACAGCCAATTGAAGATGATTCATGTAAAGGTTTGTAATTCTGATTTGTGTAATGCATTTATACTTCTTTTTTTGCTGTGAGTATTGCTTTTGCTACAGAGAATTTGAGGTTGCCAAGGCAATCTTTGTACAAAGATCAAGATTTAAATTTTAATTTGGGTTGGATAAAGTACTGTGTCAACCTGTATCAGGGGAAGAGAGAGACAAAAAATTTGTCTCACAAAGCATTTAGTCATACAGTTTTAAATGAACCTTTTCCAATTATGATTAGAAGAAAGCAACTGGACAAATCTGATAGCATGTCAGTCTTCTAAGATTTTTATATGATAAGTGCTAGTCATTTAGGTGGGGCAGTATCTGGCCATATTCATCTGATTTCTATACAAACTTCCTTAGATTTGACTGAGCTCTAGCACTTCAAGATTGTCAGAGCAGACATTAGTACATCTTTACCTCTGTGGTTTATTGAATTAATATTGGGGCTAGTTAACTCATTTTGGAACATGGCTTTAATGATAACAGGGTCTCATGTATTATCTCCATAAGGGTCCTTTAATCAGCTTTATGACCACAGATTTTAGTCATGTTATCCTCATGTATTATTTGAATAACATTGGAGACATTAGAAAGGAAATGGCAAGATACCTGCAACAGCTTTACCCCTGAAGAGGGCCCACTCAGGATCTATACAGAGAAGGTAGAGTAGTTCCCAGAGGGTTGGGATCAGGAGAGTCACAGAAGTCCTCACCACAGCTGGTACTCAAAGAGGCCGACAGATAGTTCACATTGCAAGTTTCCTGGCTCTATGCTTGATTTCCCAGCTCTACAAGAAATCTGTTCCTGTGGTTTCTTTAGATATGCCAGAGAGGTGTAGAGTTCAGGAGGTAGTCACTCTCATCAGGCATGTTTGTCTGGATGTGAAAAAGTTTGATTGCTAAGTGGGTATTAGAGGAGGAAATAAAAAGCTTTATATGGATGATGTCTCAGGGTCTAAGGCCTCTGAGAGTATTTAGAAATGCACATTATGAAGTTCAGAGCAGGATACTTTGTATACCACTGTACCATTTTAAAAAACTGTTCAATAACTAAATAAATCAGTTTCAGCCTACTTTTGGTGTCAAGACTATGGAAGATACAAACCCATCTCTGGCCCATTTCTCAGTCTTCTGAATGCTTCCTTTTCTTGTACATCTGTGACTGTGCAATTTCTAGTTTATGATTTGAAGATTCTTGTTGTAGCAGGTATTATGTGGTAAGAAACTTACTGCCATCATGTACTGCAAAAAAGGCTGCGCTGTTAACATAATTCATAAATAATATTTTAAAGATATTTTGGCAATTATTTTTGCACATTTTCTCTTAAAAATTTCATAACTGCTGGAACATAATAACTAATGTGTTCGAGGGAAAGTCTTACTGTATAGAGACTGCTCCTCACTGCCACATACATTGTCTGTGTTTGATTTTCATTGAACTTGAGAAGAGATAAATCAGAGTGATACAATAAAGCTTACCTAGGTTTATTTTTCAAGAAATAATATGCTCCACTTCATTCAACCTGCCCCAGTGATGTGTTTTGTTGCTGATGAGACTCACGTGTATTTTGTTGCTGGCACAGACTCACGTGCATACACGCACACACTCCCTGTTAACAAAGGTTGGGGCAGCTGTGAATTGTTTTTTGTCAGTGAAATAACATAAAGCAAGGTGTTGTTGTGCACACCTGTATTCCCAGTGCTTAGAAGCTGAGGCAAAAGGATTACCTTGAGTTCAAGACCAGCCTGAGCTCCATAGTGAGTTTGAGGCTGGTGAGATTGCATGGTAAGACCCTGTCTCAAAAAACTAAAAATAAAAAAAAAATAGAAATAAAAAAATATGAGTAACAGCGACTTCATGTATAAAACATTAAGAACCCGCTACCCCAGCGTTCTATGTAGGAATCTTCCTAGTGGGTCACCCTGAATCTCAGTGTGTCCAGACCCTGCCATTCATCATGTCACTGTGTCCCTGGCCCACTGTGATTTGGTGGTCTGCTTAGGACAAAGTCAGATTTTATTTTAGTCTGTTTGTGATGGAAGAACATGATAATTCTCTAGGCCTTGTTAACTCTGAGCATATAAACTTCAGTGCTGGCTGCAAGTGTCAGATCCAGATGGAAAGCATGCTGCCATGTGGTAGGGTTGTTCCAGCTTGCCATTTCTTCTTGTTTGTGCTCTTAGTGGTTCATTTCTAGCTGACCCAGCTGGGTTTTCTGCACAGCACTTCAGGCAGCATTAAGTGTCTTTTAAGAGCTTTGCTTATCCGGCTTGTTTAGGATTCACTTTTGAGGTATAGTGGAAGGGTGGATGTCTTAGTTACTTTTTACTTGTCGCTGAGACAAAATATCTGATGACCAAAGTTGGGAAAGGAAAGGTTTATTACAGTTTTTGGGGGCTTCAGTCCATAATCAGTTGGCTCCAAGGCAGGGTGTCATGGCAGGGCTACAGTTCATGGCGGCTGCAAACAGCAAGGCAGAAACTGGCGAGAGCAAGACACGCCTTCTTTCTGCCATTACATCATATCCTGGTGCCACCCCTATGTGGGTGTAGCACTGACACCATCAATCCAAACACTATACAATGAACCAATTACGGATGCGTAATGTAAACACAAGAGGCCTGGCCATCGACATAAACCATGACGGTGGATAACCTAAAACCCCAGAAAATTCCCAAATAGTTGCTTTCTGGCATAATCATCAGAGAGGCTTTCCACTGTCAGTTTAGTCTTTTAAGTCAGTTGTGCTTTCAAAGTTCTTAGTTTTTCTCAGCCCTTAGTACCTAACCCATAATACCTAATTTGGAGGTTGGGAGGTGGGGTGGGTGCATCTTGACAGTGATGCAAGATGCCAGTTTGAACCAGATGTTTTCTCAGAAACACCCATAAAGCTGTAAATGCATGGAAAGTTGAGAGCAGACTGTTTTAGCACCCAACACAAAACCACCCCCTTTTTATACAGGGCCTCACGTGCTAGTGACAAGTACTGGGATTGTGCCTTGAGCCCCCTCTTCACCTGTAGGACTTTCAGTTCACAGTCTTTTCTAAGAGCTCCCTGGCCTCTGACTTCTGCATCTTCACTTGGCCGCTTTTTAAAAAATATGTATTGTGTGGTATCATTCCCTTAGAACAGTGTACACAGCTGGCATGGCACGGGGACATCAGGCTGGAGCTGCTGCTTGATAGCAGGTGAGATTTCATGCTGAAATGGACTCTCATGCTCCAGGCATTTCATTTGTTCCTCATGTCTTGCTGCTTTTTAGTATGGATTCCTGGATGTAGGCTGCAGGGAGGCTTTGCTGCAGTCTTCCATTCTCTTTACTGAGCTGAGACGCATTTGGGTAGAAAACTGGACTGTAAGACTCTGAGTCTTCCCTCTGTATTGCTCACCAAAGGATGAGTCATCTCTCATGTCTCTGTCATCTCACTAAATAATCTTACATTAAAGGAACAAATTCATTTTCAAAGATCTGTGAATTTACTTTTACACTCAGAACTTAAACTCAAGCCACATGAAGGTAACAAAAGGAATGGAGGACTCCAGAGATTTTAGAGATTTAGAATACTTGAGGATGTGGCCCCTGGTAAGTTATTGTGCTTGCTAGCCCTTCTCCACGTCTTCCTGTGGTGTCTTGGGAAAGACACAAAATAGTAGACACAAGTTATAGCAACTTCCCCTCCAATACTAACATTTTATCTCTCTGCTGCTGGGACAATGGAAAGGTAGTGAGTTAGTGTCTGCTACTTGAAACTACCTTCTGTTTTTGCAGATTGATAGAGGTGGAAAAAGACTTGAGGACACGTAAGCAGTGGCTCATACTGACCACCCATCGGGTCCCTTGTATCCACTATTCTTTTTTTTTTTTTTTCTTTTTTAATACCTGGGATCGAACTCATGACCTTGCGCTTGCAAGGCAGGCACTTATGCCGCTGAGCTAAATCCCCAACCCCATATCTACTATTCTTTGCTGGATGTCAGGTAGAGCATCAGTTCCACCAGTATAGGCTGTGACTTAGTATCTGAGGACCTTTCTAGCCTTTGTCTTTAGACCTCCTCAAAGGAGTTGAAATTCGTTCTCATCCCAGAGTAATCTCATGTAGCCTAGAGAGGACACAGGGCTTGCAGAAAAGGAGGCCTAGTGGTTGGTTGATCCGGGTTGAAATCCAACAGACATTGTGAAGTCAAAGTAAGGGAAGTGGTATGCCTCCTGAGGCTGGGAGAAAGGACTTTAGCTGACCACTAGACCGTACACTATGTTTCTTCTCTTCCTTTTAACTTCCTTGTCCCTTCCTGCTCACCCTCTCTCATTTTTTCCCACTCGTGATGTTTCCCATCTCCCTGTGACATCCACAATCCTGCCTGTGACCAACTTGCTGATAACATTTGATGCCTGGAAGGACCCTTAGCTAGGAGTTTCTTCATTTGAGTTTAGTTTAATGTTGAATTTACAAATGGGACTTAATTGCAGAGGTGGGTGCAGAGATGCCTACAAAAGAGAGGCACAGACATATCTCTTAAAACTTTAAATAGAGTTTGTAAAACGGGCTGCGTATCCCTTGGATTTGTGTCTTTTAGATGCCCATACAAAACTGGGACAGTGAGCGGGGAAAATATTTTTCTACCTTTATTCAGTACACACTTTTGGGTATCTTTTGTGTGCCTGGCTTTATGCTAGGTAGTGGACATAAGAAAATGCTGAGATAAAGTCCCTGTCCATTAGAGACTACTTGGGAGATGGGTAGCCAGGTAAACAAGTAAAAACAATAAAGATAATCAGTGCCTAACAGAAGTCTGTCTGAGGCAAGTGTGGGTGTCTGCAGGGACTGGATGGTTCTGCTGTGGGCAGGGAAGTCCTGGGGAAGGCTTTCTTGGAGAAGGAGGGCTCATCAGCTGCTTTATTTTCCTTGTGGGACATGACCATCTGGCTGTCTTTTAGGGAGATCATTTGAGCAATGTTTTCACTGGGTTGTCTCACTGAGAGCCACCTCCTTCAAGAGCTGTAGTCTTAGAAAACCGTGGGTAGCCAGAGAGCAAGGTTGAGTACACAGAAATGCTCAGTGGTCCAGAACCAGACAATAAGAGACTCATTTTGTGTATCAGTGATTTCATGTATGGCTCTGCTATGAAAGATATCTGGCCCCACTTGCACATAGTATCTTTTCTTATGTTTTTAGTGTCATTGTGTGACTGCCACCATAATCACCTACACTAGAAATTCTGGATTGGCTCTTCTCTTTTTTATACCAATGTTTATGAAGTTCTACTGACTCTGCTTCTGTTGCTGCCCATGTGTGCTCATGTTCCCTCACCCCCTGACCAGCTACTATCTTGACCAATGCTTGCATGGTCTCTTGTTGGGAGTGCTGACTCCCTTTTATGTCAGACAATTTTTCAGTCCATTATGCATATTTGACTCTGTCATTCTGAAATGCGTATCAGTAACCCTCTCTCTCTCACACATATTTAAAGTCCTCTGGTGGTTCCCCATGGGCTTCAGGATGAAGTTCAGAGTTTTAAATTTATCTTGTAGGTTCTTACTGCCTGTAGTCTTCCTGTTTTGGTCCCTGATGTCCTCTTTAGTATCACTTCAGGCTACTCTATGCAACCCCTTATCTCCTGTAACCTTTCATCCAGCTGCTTGGAATGTCTTGCTCCTCACTGGCATATTAGCCTATTAATATTGTTATCATTTTGCCTCCGTAGGTGCTGTCCATTCTGTGTGGAACCTTCTGCAATCCATCTAGCTCCTACTCATCTTTTGAAGTTTTGCTCTCCTGTCTCCTCTCACAAAAATCCTTCTTGGCTGCTCAGCCTGAATTAGACATACTTTCCCTGGACGCCCTTGGCCATAGTATTCTGCCTTTGTCTCTGTCATTGAACTTTAAATATTTGTCATTCTTCCCTAGTAGAGTACATACTCTCTGAGGCCAGAGTATGCATCTCCTTTATTTTGGTATCCTTACTTGCCTAGCATTGTGCCTGGTACACAGTAGTTACATTTTTAGAATCGGCACATGAATGAAGGAATCTGTTCTTTCATGAAGCTCAGCCTGTGTCCATTGTCCCAAAAGAATGAGATGGCTTGGAAACTTGGGAGAGAATTTTTTTTCTGCTTGTCCTGAATAGAGTGTGATGAAGAAGTTTCATACTACTGTCTGTTTCTCACCCAGCATGCACTTAACCTTACCAAGTTCTCTGCTCAGCCCGCTGAGAGTCAGCTCCTTCAAGAGCTGCAGTCTTAGGAAACCACAGATAGGCCAGAGAGCAAGGCTGAGCCCAGAGAAATGCTTAGTGGTCCAGACACCCTCTGACCTCCCTCCGTGGGGTATCTGCTCTGCCTTCCTCCTCTCCTCATTGCTTCTTCAGTGAAAGTTGCAGTGGTGGTGATGGTGGAGCTGGGTTGAGGGTAGAGCCTTCACTGATGTTTGCAGGTAAACTGTTTTCTACCTGATTGTAAATACACTTTTTGTTCTTGAAAATCTTCGCTGACCTTAACTCCAGCTTTTTTTTTTTGAGCTGAAGGAGGGCCTGACTCCAAAAGTGATTTTAAAAAAATCTAATGCATGGTTCTTACAAGCGAAGTCCAATGAGAGTGCTCATAAATGCTACATTTGGGAGAGATGTCAAAGATCCTGCAGAGTATGGGTCATCCCCTCCTGTTCTCTTGGGGCTTCCACAGCCCAGGTGCTGTTTACCTTTTTCTACATGCCCGTCAGTCCTCCATCTCTGATATGTGGCATGAGGGTAGATGAAAGTGCCACTAGCGTTAAAAAAATAGCACTTCTGGAATGAGATTTTTTTCCGTTAAAGCCAATGTGGTGATCTTTTTATGTTAGCCAAACTTTATGTCATGATTCTTAAAGAGTCCACTTACCGAAAAAAGGCCATTCCTCACCTTCAATCCATTGTCCTTTGGGTTCTTATGGCTAAAATTTAGAAGATGAGATTTTTGCTGCAAGACCCTAAATATTGGAAACTCCAAAGGATAAAAAATGAAATTGCCATCATGTGAAAATAACTGCATGCTGTTTATTTGCCCCCTTCGCCCCCAGGTTTTTGGAGCTCCTGAAACTTAAGCTCTGGGTCTTAAGGGCCAGAAGCCATAGTCCTAACTTTGATGCCAATGGGTTGTTGACTATTGGCATGGACAGTTGTCTTCAGGGGCCTTCAAAAGCAATACAGATAGCTCAGACTCCTTAAATTCTTAAAAAAGATTTGTCACCAACATCCTTCCTCCTTCTCTAAGAAAACTATAGCCAGCCAGTGCTTTTTCTTCATGTACTCAGGATCCGAACTTTTTTGGGGGTCCATTTAAATCCAAAACTGGCTCTTTCTGCAAGGTCAAACACCAACAGTCTGAGACAAGTTTACAAGTCCCAGAAACATCTCAGTTCCCTGGTATGGACTGCTGGAAAAGCCTCAGCCCAGAGTGGAGAGAGCTGACTCTAGATTCCTTCTCATTGTCTCAGTGCTTGGCACTCCAGTTGCCCTGTTTGTGAAAAGGTGTAACCTTGCCCTACCTACTTCTCAAAGCTACAATTAGGAGGAAGTGCAAGTGAATGGGCAAAATAAATTACTACACAAATTTGGGCAAGTCAGGGTGCTTTCTGAGCAATGAGTCTTGCTGGGAGTGTTTGCAAGTGACTTAGATTTTGGGGAGTCCAAGTGTGTCTGTTTTTGACTGTTGTAACTGTCACTGCTGTTTGGGATTTGGTTGACCCTGTGTTTTGCTTTGTCACATGCTTCAGGCTGGGGAAAGTTTGCTCGACTGACTAGAGCACTGACAAGCAGCAGAGGTGTCCTGCAGCAGCTGGCTCCCAGCGTGCAGAAGGGTGAGAATGTCCATAAGCACTCCCGCCTGGCAGAGGTAAGTCAGCAGTGGAGTTCATCTCAAGGGGTACTGCTTAGGAGTGCATGAAATAAAGTGACACAGAATTGGAATGCTGGCTTGGAAGGAGCTCTTAGAACCCCTGGACTCTTATCTTGGTTGGGCTGCATGACTTGTAATTTTGGGTAAGTGGAACTTTTTTGAGCTTTGTACTTTCACATATATAAAAGAGACGTGTAAGAGAGAAAGCTCTATTTCAACTTGCACTAGATTATAGATGTCAGTTAACTTTTGAAGGGCAAAAGAAGGGAGCTAGAAGTGCTTCCTATACTGTACATGAAGTAGTTTTTATTTACAAACCATAAACATTTTTGTTATTTGAGCAATACACACTATTATAGGAAAATAAGGTACAAGAATTGAAAAGAAGAAAATTAAATTTACCTGTAACTCCAACCTAAAAGCCTTGTTACATCTCTTGTGTACATTTAACTTTTTGTTGCATTTGTTCTTTTTCCCAGACTATTTTTCACACGTTACTATTGGTTGTTGAAATGCAGCTAAGAATCAGTGTGCACAATGAATGAGGCTGTATTGTGTTTTGTTCATTTTATATAACTATGAGCCTCTTTCCAGATTAATAAATATGCTTAAAATCATTGAGATTTTTATAGTCTTTGTAGTTAGGAAATTTAAGATGGTGGTGGTAGTAGTATTATTCCTCTTGCTTGGACTAATAAGGAAGTGTTTTATTAGGCATGATGCACTTAGGTCACTATGATCTGGCCCTGGTGGTACCTGGTTTGCATTTTTTCAATGATACCTAATGAGATTAGCTGGGGACATTAAACCCTCTATACAGCAAACTTGCATCTTGAATATGACAGCATGACCTGTATCTGCATGGGTGTAGCCCATCAGCCATCAGCTCATGGTTGGATGGTGGGACCCTTTCCTGGCTCCCATTTTGCTAAGTGAGAAGTCCCTGGTGATTTGTACATGTGCAGTGAATGTCAAATGAGTTAAGCTATACAAGGTGCATATAAGTAGCAGCAGCAGCAGCAACAGCAGCTTTTGCCTGCAGTATGAGGAGCATTCATTTGTGCCATATTAGAGGAGGAGGGACATTTAGATGAAGGCAGCATCATTATCATTTTTTCTCGTGATGTGTGCCTGGCTTCAGATAGAAAGAATATACAGGCTTCAAGTACAAGCCTGCTTTTACCTTTTTTTCTACTTCTCTCTTTGTTTTCTGTCATCCAGCCACAGGGGCTCCTGTCTGGTGTGTGTGTGTGTGTGTGTGTGTGTGTGTGTGTGTGTGTGTGTGTGTGTAGGACTTGTTCTTTGCATAACATACCTGTGTGACAACTCCTTTATTACAAATCATTGCTTAAATGTCATTTTCTCTGCATGTATAACTACCTGTAGTAGTTAGCATTCTGTCAGAGAAGCATAGCCCTTAGGATATTTATATAAGAAGAGATTTATTGCGAGGAACTGGCTTACGTGATAGTGGGATTGACTATATAAGTCTAAAATTCATAGAGCAGATTGGCAGACTGGAAACTCTTGGGAGATGTTGAATCTGAAATTCATAGGTGAATTTCTTTTTCCTCAGCAAAACATCAGATCAGTTTTTACAGCCTTACTGTCATAATTACTTATGCCTTAATGATACAGTTATCTTACAACGAGAAACATGGCAATCCTTTCCCTAAAGCCATGGCAAAGTCCTCAATGACTACTCTTCTCCATACCCTGTAATTCAAATGGCATGTTATCAGTGCATCTTGCATTGTATGATAAGGGGACTAAAAAGGGGAGAAATGAGTGATATAACAAACCAAGGAAACAGCATAACTCCCAGTCCTCTTACTCCAGCATAACTCCGCTTACTCTGTTTGAGGTCTTTTTCCACTTAGTGTCATCTAATGTATTATATAGTTTACTTATTTATTCTGTTTGTTATACACTGATAAATCCCAAACACACAGAACAATATTTGGCAAATAGTAAGTACTGAGTAGTGTTTTTTTTTTAACTGATCGAAAGGAAGGAAATGATACTAATTTTTTTTCTACCTGTCTGGCTGAAGTAATTGCTCATTGATTTCAATATAAGGCAAACATTTGAGTCTCATCCCAGGTTAAGCTCTATTTAGTCTGACAAGCCTTATTGATTTTATTGATCTTTTTAAAGAACTAGCTTTTGCTTTTGTTGATTTATTGTTTTTTATTTTATTGCTTTCTACTGTAATTTGTGTTATTTTAGCCTGTTTAGATTCATTTACTCTTCTTTTACTAGTTTCTTAAAGTAGATTATTGCTTAGATTATTGCTATCTGATCTTTATTCTTTCTCTTATTTATTCAATGCTAGAAAATGCCCTTTAGGCACTACTTTTATTACATGTTACACATTTTGATGCGTTATATTTTTCTTTTTCATTTAGTTAAATATATTTTATTTTTTCCTGAAATTTCTTCTTTAGCCTATGTGTTATTTAGAAATGTGTCACTTAATCCTCAAATTTTTGGCTTTTTGAAGCTATTTTTTTCTAACTGATTTAATCTATTATGGTCTGAGCACAAACACTGTATGATTTTTATTCTTTTTTAAAAACTGGTTCTGGTAATTCTACTCAAGGCCTTTATGCTGAGCTACATCCCCAGCTTGGTATCTTTTTATTTTGAGACAGAGTCTTCTTAAATTTTTGAATTGTCCAAGCTGTACCTGAATTTGCAATCCTCCTATTTCAGCTTTCCTAGTGCTGAAACACTCCCATGGTGTATGTCACCATGCCAAGCTAATTTTTATTCTTTTGCTGAGATATTGTGTTTTATGGAGGTACCAGGTGACAATGGCAGGGAGCACATGGCTAAGCAAACTGTTCATATCATGGCCAAGAAATGAAGAGAAAGAAAGGGCTGGGGTCCCACAGTTGTCTTCAAGGCCACACCCCTAGTGACCAGCAGACTTACCACTAGGCCCCACTTCTTAAGAGTCTATCACCTTCCAGTAGTGCCAAGCTGGGACTGAGCCTTTAACATATAGGTCTTTGGGGGGAACATTGTAGAGCCAAATTATAGCAGCTCTTTTTTGATGAAGTAGTATACATATATCTAGATATCCAGTGATTGATTGTGTTACTGAGTTTAGCAGTGTTCTTACTTATTTTCTGTTTTCTGGATCTTTTCATTTCTGATATAGGGGCATTGAAACTTCAGCTTTAATAATGAATTCTTCTATTTCTTCTTGCAGGTTTTTACTTGTTTCTATTCTTGGGTATTTACATTTAAGTGTTGTTGTGTCTTTGTTATGCCTTGTTTCTTGATGTCTGCCCAAAGCCTCTTGTGCTCATAGATGGGCTTTTTGAAGCTAGCTGGATCTAGAATGTGTGATTGCAGATTAAGGGTATGGTAGGTATTGAGATTGAGGGTGTATGGTAATAAATTAGTCCACTTGTCAGAATTAGCATACCTCTGGGTGTGGCTGAATGAATTTACTGAAAACAGAAGTCCTATCCTGGGTGTTGGATGGCACTCCCCTCAAAAATTTGTATCCTGTTGGAATGAAAGGGAAAGGCAGGTGCTGCTTGATGCTTCACTGTTTCCTTGCTGCTTTACCATGAACTGTTTCTCCTCGTCAGTGCTGCTGTGTTGTGCTATCCTGCGTTGGAGCCAGTTGACTATGGCCAGCAACCTCTACAGACTGTGAATTGCTATAGTCTTTTTATCTTTGATTTTGGTGTCAGATATTTTGTCTGAGCAATGAAAACAGTAACTAAGACAGATTTCTTGGACAGTAGGCCTTCTTGTTATGATAATGCTCTTCTTTATCGTTGATAAATTTGTTTTCTGAGTCTGTTGGAAATTAGTATTCTTGCTTTCTTTTATTAGTATTGTCATGATGTCTTTCTTCATTCCTTTACTTTTTACTCTATATACAGTATTTTTACAGTGAGTTTCTTGGTTTTTGTTCCACTCTGTTTTCCACTCTTCTTCTGCCTTTTTAGTTTAAGCATTTTTTAATTTCATTTTTTCCTTACCATGTCCATTCTTCTCCACCTTTGTTTTCTTCTTCCTCTTTCTCTTTCTCCTGTTTTAATAGTTGCCCTAGAGTTTAAATGTACATTTACAAGTAGTACAAATTCACATTCCAATGTACTGCTTCATGGGTACTGTAAACATTTTGTAATAGTAAAATATTCCTCTATTATATTTCTTACAACATTGCTTTTGTTCATTTCATTTATACATAAATATATATGCATTACTGTTGCTATTACTGTTTTAATCAACCTGTTTTATGTTGGATAAAGTAAGAATAAGAAAAATAAAAATTGTTTTATTTTTACTTAGTCTTTCTCTGATTATGCAATTGAGTGTTTAAGAAGTTCTTTTGACACTTGTGGCAAGGCAGGTACACTGGCAGTGAGTTTATTCAGTTATGGATTGTCTGAGGAAGTTTTATTCTCCCTTCACCTTTAGAGGATGACTTTATAGTGTGAAAAATGTTGCCTTGAGAGCCCCCTTAACCCCACCACAACACTTAAATACTTCACTGCACTTTTGTATGCTTATATGATTTTTGAGAGGTTGGATGTATATTTTGCTTCTCTGTAGATTAGGTGATATTTTTTTTCCTCTGCTTTCTTTGAGGTGGTTTTAGTTACTTTGATTTTTGTACAGTTTTAGGATATCTGTGTTTGTTTTCTTTTTTATTTAAAGAGAAAGAAAAAACAGAAAAAGGGGTAGAAACAATATAGAATTTCAGAAAAATAAACAGTAAGAAATCACCAGTTGATAAGTTACCATCATCTTAGAAATAGTTGCTCGAGGACATTTTTGACTTCCAGAAGAACATGGCGGATAGATAGCAGCAGCTACAGAGGCTGTCTGAGATACCCCGCTTAGAATCCAGGAATGCTGTGGTACGAGGAGTCCTAAGCAAGAGAAAATACACCCTGCTGACCCAGGAATGAACTAAGCTAAGAGAAACCAACTGGAAATCCTGGTGCTATAACAGGAACAGATAAAAT